CTTTCGTAGTCCACTAAAACAGGTTCTTTTAGACAAACCAATTTTTCTTCACACGTCAGACTGTGTTTCTTGCGAATGTGCGCCAATTGTTTATGTGAACTGTACGAAATATCTGGGACTTTATTTTGATTGCGACCTGTCATGAAACTCTCACTTCTTCTATATTTTCAAAAAAATACGAGCCGCTTCGTGCACCTTATATAATCTTCGCATACTTCTTCCCATCACAACAAAAAGACTTCTGATGCACGCCCTTGTTTATAGTATTCTCCGGTACGGAATAACTTAAGTGAACTCCTTACTGAATGGCATCCTGCGTAGTGTAGCTTACGGTTCTAGTCTCCAAAGATCTGATAACCTCTTTAATGACCTCTCGCTACCAACTTTTAAATCACTATTTTTTGAAAGAGTAGTGCTGAGGCACCACTGGGATAACACCTTTAAGACCCCCAACACCGTCTGTCGTGCCCTTCGAGACGTGAGACCATATCAAACGCCGCGCATCAAAACACATTTTGGAAAATGCGTTCGCCTCTATTATGTATCCCATATTTTTAACAACCTCCCTTCTGTGCTACTCGACGTAAGTTCTCGAGGAGCTTTGAAACGTAGATTGAAGACTCTTTGCCTAGACATCATTTTTTAAAGTGCCGATTAATTTTTTTGTTTTCATTTTGTTTTCTACTTGATGTGATTTCTGTGCGCTGTGCACTACTCCCTGTTTGTATATATTTCTCTCTGTCACGCGTTCTAGATCTCTGAAAAATTTATACTAACTTGCTTTGAGTGTGCCTTAAGTAATTTGTAAGGAACTAGTCCTACAAGCCTTTATCGCTTTGACGGTTCCGATATGTGTATATAGCTGTATTTGAAGCACCTGCATTAAAATATTATTATTATTAAAATATTATTATTATTATTATTATTATTTTTACAAGAAAAAGGGTTGCTTGCCAGTTAATTTTATAGGTATATAAAGACACACTGAAAAGTCACGTTTAAAGGGATCACGTGCAGGAAGTTCATTTGCCTGTTTACAATGTCCTAACTTTTTTTTTTGTTTATTAAAATGCTGACTGATTTATTTTCAATGTAGTTCAGCGAAATCTTGTAGCAATATTTTGTGATCGAAATGCTCTTTGTGTACTTTACTAGAGCGAGTACCAAATAACCACCACTTCCCTACTACTAGCAGTACACATTACATTTGACTCGAATAAATAATTGAGAACAGCACAACCATAGTGTGAATTCAAAGAACATTTTGTATCGAAGAGGCGTATTACCACGCACAACTCGCCCGCAGTTTTCTCGTCCCGGGAGCTCTTCGGAAAGTTGTTTCTAACAAGCTTAAAGATTACTCGAAGTTGTTAGAAAATAACGGGTAGACTATGGCTTACTTGAATACACAGGGTGCCCCAAAAACAATTTACGGGGATGTTTTCACCGAAAAAATAGAATTACGCATCGCCGAATTACGCACCCAAATCAAGCTCTAGCGATCGAAACCAAATGCCAAAGTTTCAAACTAACCTTTATCTTATTAAAAAGTTGTAATCGATATCCTGAAATTTTCAATGGGAAATTGTGGCCGACGGAGCTCTCGAATACAGGAGCTGAATGGCGCCAGTTATCAAAAATGGGCGCCATTTTGCCCTTTGAATTTTCAAAAAGTCACGTGACTTTCGGTTGAGATAACGGCTAGTGATGACATTTTGGCACCCGGATCGGACTGCTAGCGCTACATTTGGGCGGAGAATGAGCGTTAGCCGATGCTTTAGTTAAAGGGAAGCCTTAGAGGTCCTTGAATTCGAACGAACACTAAACGCTGTAATGTAGGCACCTTAAACATTATGTGTCGTAAGTTTTTTTTCGACCTTATAAGTAGGACCGTCGTATTAGCCAGCCAATAGACCGATCTCATCAGCAAGTTTCGCTACGCCGCCGCAGCCGTGATACATTGTGGGACCTTCAGTCTCTGTGCAGCGGGGCTGCTGCGGTCGCGGGCAGAGATGCAGTGAAGATTTCGCTGACTGCCTGGCTCGCACGAACGCCGTTGGCAGTGTTGTTCCACCGAACTGTTTGTCGTTTGCTCCGTTGTTATGGCAGGTTTCACGTGTTTGCGCTCCTGGCGGCAGCAACAACAGCACCAGACACAAGGGTGTCGGGTTTCATAGCATTCCGAAGACGAGCAGTTGAGAGAAGAGTGGATCGCTAAAGTTCGCCGAGCGGGCAGTAAGGGGCGGTAATGAGTCCGCTTGTTCGAGAAAACTAAGCAATCAACGTTGTGTGCGCGAAAGCAAACTCACGCGGATTCTGATTGTCCCGTTGTTGAGAATGGATTAGGACAAAACTGACAGAACCCACGGAGTGACCCCAGGGTCGGAGGTGCTGTATAATCGTGCTTGCCTCCGATCGTGTTTACGTACAGATAAGCATCTCCTGGTCGGTACTCATTTTCTAAGCATACGACCTGTCTTTAACGGTAACATTCAGCACAATTTTTCTTTGTGTTTGCAATTTTTTTAAGTTTGTGTTTAGGACTGGTCACACAAAACGAAATTATGAAGTTTTTTTGTTTTTTTTTGTCATAGCTTTCGCTCGCTCACCAACTGCGTTTGGGTAAGGGGAATAGACGCCTCAAACGTAGAGACCAAAGACAAGGCTGGCGAGCTAGTGCCGCGAAATGTTTTCAAACCCGGGTCGAGGGTAGAAGCAACGAACAGAAACATGACATAAGATAGCATCGGTGAAGCACACTTCGAATGTGTAAACTAATCCCTCGTTTACAAACATCTCCCGGAACTTTTTGCCAGAGTAGAAAGCCGAATTATGAACAATAAAAAAGAAGCAACGCGAAATGTTTCACAATTCAGGAACCACATGACCTCAGTGTCCACATGCATAAACCTTCCAAGTATTTACATGCGTTGCATAAGCTTACACTAAACGCTAGCCGTATCTTTAACAAACAATCTGGCGGGGCTTTCTAGATATACAACGACAAATGTCGCTAACAAGAGATTACGCAACATTCACTGTTCCCTCCTGAGGCGCGTTTATGTACGAAATCACACGCACATGCAAATCAACCCCGCCATTAATATTCCTGCTCCTGAACTGCATATAAATTAAAAAGGGCTTAAATAACCCGTGAATAATTGCTCAAAAGGAATTCAATGAACCGATGGTGATGTTCTACAGTATTCCCTCCTAAACACTGCAAACTAACTTTGCGGCAAAAGAGTGAGTCAAACTGGTGCCCTTTCGAGTGGGTCGCGTGTTCAAATACCAAGGACCCAAAACAAAAGTTGGGCAACATATTGATACTTCCTTAAAGGGATGCTGAACCGAAATTTGGATTCAACAAAACACGGCGGCAGAAGCGTGCAACGGGATGCTATACAAACACGAAAACATCTTTCATACAGCGAACTCTCGAACGGATGACCGCATTTTTCTAAAAAAAAGAGGAGGCGCATTTGACAGATATGTGGACGTCTTGTTTCTCCGAGAAGAGTCGAGAAGGAGAGAAAACGGCCTCGCGTCTTCTCCGCCTCGCCGCCTTGAGGGGGCGAAGCGGAGAGAGGAGACAACGAGATATGTTGACGTCACGCGCCTCGTCGGCCTCGTAGTTTTTTTTAAATCCAAATTTCGGTTCATCATCCCTTTGAAGCTGGACTCCATGGATACATGGGACGAATATGATGCAAAAAATCAACAAATTTTGCCCCGCGGCTTTTGCTCTGCTCGTGGCATCAGCACAATGACTGCTACGCCGCGCGCAAAGCGAGCGTGCCGTCGGGCGACGTTCGTCCGTTATTCGTGGCATAATTGGCTCCGCAAGGTTCAGCCCTAACCCCCCATTCACACTGGAAGCGGATCCGCGTTCGCGAAGCGGTTGCGAACGCGGTTGTATGAAGATTCAGTGCAATTGCACGCGCATTTGTTGTCATCAAACGCGCGTGCAATTGTACTGAATCCTTATACAACCGCGTTCGCAATCGCTTTGCGAACGCGGATCCGCTTCCAGTGTGAATGAGCCTTTAGAGTGAAAAAAAAAAGCGGAACACTTCAGCTTGTTCTGTCAGTGTCTTGCGTCAAAGAGGAAACAAAGCGACGGCGGCAGCTAGGCTTTCGACCTGCGCGTGCGCACAGTATCCGCGCCTCTACCGCGTCCGTCGCGTCCGTCGCGTCCGTCGCGTCCGTGAACTAAAATTATGGCGGTACCCAAGGGGACCTACGCAAGTTGCTCTGTTTATAGCAGATCAGGTTAGCTGTCCCCGCGAAGCTGGTATGCTTAGCATAGCAGGTGCGTGGGGAGAGCTACGACTTGGTTTATAAAGTCAGCGTACGTAATATCATGTCATAGATCGCTTCATCTGACGTCAATTACGCCACATATCATACTATAGTTATCTGAGGCGACACGATCTCCTCCACGTATCAGCTCAGGGCCGACTCGCCTCGATTCACTGCATCGCCACGATACCGAGGCAGACTACTGCAGGGCGTATGCGAGCATACCGCCACCGGAAGAAGCAACAAAGGCGACAGCAGGGAGCCGGCGAGCGCCGTTCCACAGAAGGAGCTGAGGTGGAACGGCGTAGGAGAACGCTCCAAACCTGCCCTTTTCGCTCAGCACATTCGGTGCTCCCCGGTCTTAATCAGCATAACCGAGCCAGAGATATTTTTATAGTGATTAAATAACACTTTTTTTTGCCCCGTATAATTTAGTAGACTCTGCGCGCTAATTAATCAGCGTCCGCCATTGTTCGGCCACGTAGTATGAGCATCTACTGCATGGGCACGAAGGCTACGTCGGCATTCGACGTGAACCTAGCTCGGATTGTATCGAGAACGATTGCTCAGTAAGCATTCGGTGAGAACTCGGACCCAATAGCATGTTTCGTGGACAGGATGGGGTTTTTAACAGCAATGCTATGACAATGAATGAAAAAGGACCGCGAGCAGGTGTTCACAGCTTTCCTTACCTGCAGCCTCTCCTCAGGGACCGTCCAATGCTCCGCCACAAGAGCCAGCACAGGCGCCACAAGAGCCAGCACAGGTGCCAGAAGAGCCAGCACTGAACCAGACCTCGGGACAAGGTACACAATTTGTTTGCATTTCGGTGCGACTAAGCACTCGTAACGTACGAAAAAACAATTTTTTTTTTTTTTTTTTTTTTTTTAAGAATAGACCATTTTCAGTATTCACTGGGCGCCATATTCGTGGGTGCTGTTTAGAGCGCATGCTCAAAACGAGCCCACATTAATAGGCTGCTATGACCGGCAATCTTGAGGGTGGGGAATGCACGTTACAAAAGAACTGTGGAAGCTCGCCATCAGCACGCGCTCAGCAGTCTGTTCCACAAGCAACACGCGCACGCCTTGCCTGTATAAAAGATCCGAAGTGAATAACCAAAATAAAGCGTCCAGGAACGCGCGTGCAAGATGCCATTTGTTTTAGGTATTTGCTTTGGAAAAGTTGCTACTGCTGTGAGGCCAGCACGTGCGGCGCGTGGAACACCAATCCCTGCATTCCCCTTGGTGCTTGGGTAATATAGCAATAGGAAGTATTCACTGGCGGCCATAGCTGTGTGCACGACTGCTGAGCGCGTGCGGATGGCGAGCTTCCACAGTTCTTTTGTAAGGTGCATTTCGCACCCTCAAGATTGCCGGTCTTAGCAGCCTATTAATGTGGGCTCGTTCAGAGCATGCGCTCTAGACATCACCCACAAATATGGCGGCCAGCGAATACTTCTTATAGGTCTATTGTGCCTGTTAAAAAATACCTGGCACCTCTATGGACAGCATAGATTCGATATGTACTGTCGGCCTAGAAAAGAATGAAGATCGTCGTCGGGCTCGCGGGGCTAGCCGGTGCTCGGGTATGAGCGCGTGAGGAGAACGAGCCTGGACACCATCGAAGACAGTTATCGCTTCTTGCATAGCCACAAACTGGCGCCCCAATGTCGGAACGAAGCGACCCCCATTTCTGAGGTACGTTCGGCCTGTTTGCCTCGGATACCCCTCAGACCCCTTGTTAGCTGCACCGCGCGGTAGAAACCATCGGTAGTGTTCAAATGCCGAGTCTAACTACTCGATCCCGTGTCCGAGCCGATCCGCCGAGCAAGGGCGACGCCGCTTCGAATAGCGACGGCGCGCTCGAGTCACAGTCGAACCTGGAGGTTCCACCACCTGAGGCGGAACTGCCGATGCTACTAGCCGCAACAGCGGCAGAGTCGACCGCCGTGGTGGCCGGCCCCGTTTCGGACCAGTTGGCCGTGTTCCTGGCAGGGCTGTCGAGACTTTTTCCAGGAACACCGGAGTCCTCAACCGTTACCGGTAACCTTGAATCGGCAGGAGACACTGCGATTAAATATCCACGTCCCAAAATATGTCGGTTATGCCAACAGTACTTATACTGCTCTCGTCTTGTTATTTTAGTATCGCCTCAGGTGTTGGCTCTATTTCCCGCGCGCGGCACTCGATGTCCCAAGCTCATGACAGATTGTCCTCAAAAGTAACTATTTAACGCCTCAATATTTAGTCCGCTGGCACTCAAAGTAGAAGGCAGGGTAATGTCGAGAAAAATGGGCATGGCATTCCGCGTTTTCTTGGGATTCTCAACATGGATGGATGAACGAACGGATTGATACGGCTGAACCTTTTTTAATCGGGGGCGGCTCGGGGCACCTAGCCGCATGCCGATGAAACCAGTCGTTATCGGGGACTAAGCGTAACGGATCAAGGAAGATTCACGAACTTCGCAAATTAGCGTAGGTTTTCCGCTAGGTTTAGCGGGCAATTTACCCATAATGCACCGCGCGGTTACGCCAACGGCGACGCCGACGGCGACGGCGACGCCGCTCAAGCTGGAAACGGGCGCCTAAGAGCTGCGCTCTAAAAAGGAGAAGCAACTCACTTAAAGTCAAGTGTGTTTTTCAGGAAGAAGCCCTGTGGCATACTACACAAATTACACTAAAGGCGATGTGCATTTCGTTGAAGTGCACTAAATTAGCCCGTCTGACCGGGGTATCAGCTAGCGCCTCGTAGCCAGTGTTTTTAATGTTAACAAAGCACCAGCAAATTCTAACTGCGGCCGCGATCCTGTTGGTTGGTCGAAGAAGCACTGGAAAAGAAAACGAGAGTACGGAGGGGGCGCTCTCATCGAAGGCGTCCCAACCCGTTAGTGCAGAAGCGTCTGCCGACTGGCTCGCTACGAAGCGAGCTACGACAGAACAGGCGTTTGTCGTATCAACCTCTAGTGCGGGGCCACTGCCAGGGGACACAATGATCAGAACCATTGCGCCGTTGTGTCGTCACCAGGCAGAAATCGAGAAAAGAAAACAAGAGACGTGACAAACAAAACAGTCGGTGCCGAATCCCAGTCACCGCGGTAAAATATGTATTTAATCTGATTACCTCAAATACCTGGTTAATAATCACCTCTTTGCCGTGCGTTCTGTGTTCTTTCAGCTCAAGAGCCTTTGCCGCCTCTCATACCAGAAGGTAGGTTTACTAGCAACCGGCAGGACTAGCTGAGAAAGCACGTACCGTGGTCTTTGCGCTTCGGGCGATGTGAGGATACGGCGAGGGTCCTTCGTTTTCGCGTAAAACCCGATATTTCTTTGAATTCGGAAATCGAATTTCACCAAGTTCTAAATTACTCCGCTCCGAAAATATTTGATAGCTTCTGTCCTTGGAAACAAACCTAGATTCCTGCTGGGTTCATTGAACTGCACTGACATATTTTATATTTTATGTCTACTGATAAGTATATCCTTTGCGCTTTTCTTTCCGCTTCAACCAGCGCAAAATAAGAAAAGTAAAGGATGAACAACTGCACTCAAAACTTAGTTACGAAACGAATAGCAAATATGCTGTTCCTGTATAACTGAAGTGATATCGTTGTGCATTGCAATTGTACGCGTGAACTGAGATGTTAAGAGAACATTAGCTCAATTCAGATATTATCAAATGTCGGACATGCCTAGCACAGGTTGCGCATGCAGAAGATTATGTGAACAACATGGAATATTAAAAATCGAAAAGCCCAAGACAGCTCTTATACCATGTTTGTATGCTATCTAAAAAACATAGAAGTTAATTGTAAAAAAAATCATCTATTGAAACCGAATAATGCTTTTTATTGTTAATTATACACATATATTTCTCAAAATTACCGGAAAGAAAAAAACGAATTCTATAAAAATTGCACGAAAAACCCGATTTCACCCCGATTGTCACTATGGAACAAAGCACCTAATTTTTACACCCCGATTTTTGAAAAGTATAAAATCAGAAAACGAAGGAGCCTAGGTCAATTTTGGGCAGTAACTAGTTACTAGCAGAGGTCGGCATTTTAAGTCGCCCTCACTCACCCTCACCCTCACAGCCACACTCACCTAAGCCCCTCACTCACCCTCACCCTCACAGCTACACTCACCTTCAGCCCTCCACTCACCATCACTGAACCTCACGGCCCTCACGCACTCACCGCCCTCACGGCCCTCACGCCCCTCACGGCCCTCACGGCCCTCACGCCCCTCACCGCCCTCACAGCCCTTACGCCCCTCACTCACTAATGGCCCTCACGCCACTCACCGCCCTCACGGCCCTCACGGCCCTCACCGCCCTCACTGCCCTCACGGCCCTCACCGCCCTCACGGCCCTCACGCACTCATAGCCCTCACGCCACTCACCGCCCTCACGGCCCTCACCGCCCTCACGGCCCTCACCGCCCTCACGCCACTCACCGCCCTCACGCCACTCAACGCCCTCACGCCACTCACCGCCCTCACTCCCCTCACCGCCCTTGCGGCCCTCACACCCCTCACGCACTCATGGCCCTCACGCCACTCAGACCAGCCTCAGAAGGGGCAATTTCGCCCAAAAACTTTACGTCGCAACACCAGCAACACCAGCCCGCGATCACACGCAGCAACCAATTGCTGCAATTTGCCATCGTCATCATAAAATTTTATTTTTATTGTACTATTTAGACACAATTACGCGTTATAAACGTGTTTTTATGCATTTAAATCTCGTTAAGAATACTAATGCACCTTTCTGAAACAGTTTATTTCCAAAAAAAACGATCGATTTCAAACCAGAACCAAGTCTTTCGGTGTAATCATCACCAGCACGAGGTATCACGTGAAAATTTTGCGTCCCTGATTGGATGCAGCCGCTTCAAACGTATTCGAATTGCTCCGAGTTGCTTGCTTATTTCGAGCCGGACCCGATCTCAGCAATTCGTGTCGATCTAGGGAAAGCTAGAGAACAACCCGCCATTAACGCCCAAATTTCTGAGAAAGATGCTCGATCTGAAGGGGGCCTCACGCACTCACCGCCCTCACGCACTCATGGCCCTCACACACCTCATGCTCTCAGCGCCCTCACGGCCCTCACGGACCTCACGCCTCTCATGCCACTCAGCCCTCAAGCACTCATGGCCCTCACACCCCTCACGCACTCACCGCCCTCACACCACTCACGCACTCATGGCCCTCACGCCACTCACCGCCCTCACGCCACTCACGCACTCTGGCCCTCATACCCCTTACCGCCCTCACCGCCCTCATGGCCCTCACGGCCCTCACCGCCCTCACAGCCCTCACGGCCCTCACCGCCCTCACGGCCCTCACTCACCCTCACACTCATGAATTTTCCTGATTCAGAAACTCACTCACCCTCACTTCACCTGTGAAGATGAGGGTGAGTGAGGGTGAGTGAGGGCCCTCATGAGTGAGGTTTGCCGAGGTATGGTTACTAGTAACGCGTTACCGGTAACTAGTTGCTTTTTTCGGTAACTTTTATCTGTAACGTGTTACTCTTTAATACTGGTAACTGTAGCAGTGTTACTTTTTTATTGGGTAACTGTAACTGTTTAGGCCGTTACGGTTACTTTTTCTTACTATATAAATTAGAACCTACTCCGCGGACATGGTGAAATTGCGATCTTGAAGTATTTATCACAAAACTCTTCGCTGACAAAAAAAAATAATAATAGAAAAAGAAGCGTGATTACGCATTAAACAACAAAAAATTGCCTGGTTTAGCCCACGACCGAGAATGGACGGACGAGTCAGCACGAAACCGGGAGATGAAGTAAGCAGCATTCGCGGTGGTAGGGGCGGCAAACCATGTCTGTTTCATTGACTCTGGCTCACTCTTCTCCTGTGGGGACCATCTGCGGGTGTCGGTGGTCGTGCGACATGTCTCCAAGTATTCCGTCCGAGCTGTGTCTACACCCCACCCCCTTCTCCCCTCTCCCTTTCCCTTTGCCAGATATGTCCCTGCTGTCGTTGTTACACCCAGCCGATCGCCGTTTCCTCTTCCCTATTCGTTTTCAAGGAAGTCGTCCCCATATTTTGCAGAAAGCCGGCGCTTGTTTAACTTATTCATTCCCTTGGGAGCCGCTCGAGTAAGCACAAAGCTAGGTTCGAGTGTAACTGTCTTTTTTCGTAGGTAGCCTCAAGAAACATTCTAATGGAAGGACGCTTTGTTGTGAAACCTATGGAGCGCTCCAGATGAAGTGATGACGCATGTATGCGGACTGGTCTTCCACAATTGGCGTTTCGGACACAGACGCCGCGGTGGTAGTTGGACACTCGTGGAGCACCAGAAGGCCTCACTTTGTCTTGTTTTCGGATTTTCTCCTATATTCTTTTGAAGCTATTTTACCTGCTATGTTTAGGCCTGCCTCCGAGCATATCCCGTAAGGAGATTATGTGATCATCTGTGTCCTCCTTCGTTTCGGAGCGAAAAATAAACGAAAACATTCATTAACGCGGGCCGATGACTATTTTGAAAAACAGTTGATTCTGAGTTATAACAAATATTGCAAATAAATTACGCGCATCAAAATGCTCAAACGGCGAATGACGCAAAAAGGAAACACCCTTCGGGTTTAAACTTTTCTAATCTCTCAGTTAACCTTTTTTTGTTACTATGGTGTAACAAGTAAAATAATATTCTTTTGGTTTGTGATTTCTTGTGTCCATTTTTATACTGTAACGAGAAAGTAACGGCGTTACTGTTTTTTCAGTAACTGTAACACGTTACTTTTGGAAGCCGGTAACTGAAACTGTAACACAGTTACTTTTTCCCCCTACGTAACTGTAACTGTAACACTGTTACTTCTTACTGGTAACGTGCTTGTGACTGCCCTAGGTATGCCCCAGTAGAACAAGGGAGACCATTTCAATAATCGGGTTCTGCGGAATCCTTGTCTGGACAGTGGAATTGCGTTCGTTCTGAGCATGCGCAGTACCTCTCTTTTGTAAAATAGCAGACGCAGCTCATACGAACAGAGACCAACGGCTCGGCATTTTCTGCCCGGGTGATGGGCGCTGGAAAGATCTATCGGCGACTTTCCTTACGTGTTTTCGAACCCCCTTTCACGGCTACGTCTTTTGACCGCCAGGTGCTGCGAAGATCTGATTCGCCCAAGAAGGCTGACGAGCGAACCTTCCGCCGCAGCTTTCTGATCCAGCCGCTGTGCCGTTGGTCTCGCTGGAGTCACCAAGAGGGCGTGGTGATCAAAACATGTAACGGGACACTGTTCTTAATCTAAAACAGGGCGATGAAGAAGGACAGGCATTTTCCTCCTATTTCTTCCTCAAGTAGAGTTGAGGCCATTTAAACCGGGGAGCGCCTGGTTCCATGCAGTAGCTCGTAGCGTCCCTGCCTCATGTATACGGCCCATGCCACTCAGCTTTCTTGTTTTACTATTATTCAACAAACAAAAAAAAAACGCATGCAGTAAACTCCGCGAACGGATCTCCTTGTGCATGTAAATGTGGGAATATATCCCTTACAAGTTATAGGGAGTTTCAGCATATGGGATAAAATTATTATGTGCTAATGGCGAAATTCCCGGACGAACTGAATCCGAATCGATTAGTACCAAATAGTTGACGCATTGAATTCCAATCGATTAGTACCGAATAGTTGTCAAAACGCCAAGGTGGTTTTGACGCTTGGGCGTTTCTAGCTTGCCGCCAAAGAGCGTGGCTAAGAATGGCCATGTTTCCATACGTGGTAACAACAATGACACAATGTTGAATTCGTAATTTCTTTACTTGATAAAAAAAAAAAACTCAAACGCCATTTTTTTTTTTTTTAAGTGGTTGTTTAGGTCCGATTGATGTTTAAACCTTTTAAAGCGGAAGCTGTTAGTGGCCCGTCCCCCGGTTTTGCGACGGTGTGAGACTAAAAGAAAATTTCCCCCGCTAAATTTGGCGGACACATTAATGTCAAGCGACTTGACGTCACAGGACCTAGACACAAATTCAGGTTCCCCGCTAAAATTAGCGGAAAAAATGCACGTCCCGTGGCTTATGCGCCAATTCAGTTTCCCCGATAAATTGAGCGGAAGGATTGAACGTGACGAGACCTACTGTCACGTTCAACCGAGACGGACCCCGAAATCAGAGAAACAGAACGAACAGGTTACGAAATTCCACCGTATGTATACATATATTTGTATAAATAAACAAAGCGAAAGGCCTTAGCACACCTACAGTACAGTATAGTCCAAGTCGCCGAGAACTAAATCTCCGCCCCGGGCACACACGACCTTGAAGTGTCCCTGCTCGTGTGCGCTTGCGTGTGTCTCTCCCTGATGAAGAACGTGTTGCCGCTCTGACGAAGGACGCCTCGTTGGTTCACGGTCGACTCCAGTGAGCGGGCCTCGGGTGGGCTTCCACTGGAGCGTAGCCGAAGTCACCTGTGTGTTCGCCGTAGCAACGCTGTTTTTGTTTTTTGTTTTTTATTCCTTCAATACTCGTCCCCCTCCTCGTCTTCCTTCGTTCTTCACGCACCACGCCTCGTTCATCTACTCATCTTCTCTTCTCCGGTTCACAATCGTGACACTCACCCACCAATTCACTTTCCCCGCTAAATTTTGCGGGGAAATTGATGTCACATGACCTGACGTCACGGGACCAACAGGCAAATTCAGTTTCCCCGCTAAATTTAGCGTAAAAATTGACGTCACATGACCTACGCATCAATTTAGTTTCCCGTTCAATTTGGCGGGAAAACACATCCCGACCTTTAGATCATTTATTCATTAACAACGTATCGACGCTAAATCAACGCAACGTCATTTAAATATCAGATCACCGTATGATGCACGATCGGCGTAATGTCGATCGATCGTCATCGTCATATCGTCGAATAAGCAGCAATGCTGACGCCGTCTAAATGCAACACGTCATGTGATCGGCGAGCATTTTTTTTTTTTTTTTTTAGAAAGCTTAACAATGAAATATACTATCTGACTATGAGGATACCCATATGTTGCTACGAACTGGAGTGGCGATTGCGACATGATTTATATGTTATATTTGCAAGCCACCACCAGGAACTGCCTGGCTTAAGGTATGCCGTCTCGGCACTCCTACAGAAATGTTGAAGGCCTGGTGTGCATGTACTCAGTGCCTAGTTGCGTGCAGTATTGGCGAAGGCAACGCCAGACGAGGGGAGGAAGGGCAAGCGCTAAGAAGACTGGAGAGGAGGAGAGAATCTTTTTTTCCTCTCTTACGTTCCTAGTGCTCTCCATTTCTCCCCTCGCCCTCCATCGCCATCCTCTCCCCTGTCGCCTTCCTAGTGCTCGCCCTTTCTCTCTTCCCCTGGAGTTGCCTTCGCCTGCACTGCAAACAAGTAGTGGCACGGAGAATAGGCAATAGTGTTTCTAATTGCTCGATCGCACTCACGGGGTTGATGTGCTGCGTTTGCAATACAAGCTGCGAAGAGCGGACGAGAGCGTCGATCGTTGCAAAGTGCCTCCAGGCTTTGCTCAGCCTATTCTCCCGCTGACCGCCTCACCACACGACGTCGCGCGCACGCGCGGATGCAACCAGTCGGCGGAGGATGCGTCCGCCACAAAATTGCAAACACCATCCATGGTGTGAATTGCTCCCTCTCTTAAATTTAAGTGCTCTGTGAAATAGACAGACGGAAGAATGGCGGCTGGTTCCCTTTGAATCTGGGTGGTGACTTGCGCCACCCAGCCAAATCTGTTCTTGTTTGGCAATTTCACTTCAAATGAAGTCGTGTTTAAGCCATGGTAATTAGATTTAACCTCTATTCGCCCCTTAATTTTAGCCGCCATTCCTTCAATCTTTTTTTTTCCTGGCTTTACTTTACAAAAACACTTTGTTTGACCGCTTTCATCGATTCTCAGGGCGCAGAGGGACTGAGCCTCTTCGCGTGACGCATTTGGATGGCCGAGCCCTTTACATTTCGTAATGGCATGCTCCGACGTTTCAATTCCCTTGCTGCTTGTTGTATTCATTGCTTAGTATATGGCCCTGTACGTTTTAGTTACCGAAGCCTCTTGCCAAGCCTTAAGCAATAACCCACTTCCTGTAGAGTCTAGGCCTTTGGAAACGGGGACCTCACGCCTGTCGAAACCTGAGGCAAACACTTCCGCGGGCTGGTGGTGCAAATGTGAAAGAGGCTAACGGGAAATAAAAGTACCCAGTTGGAGTTGTCGAAACAATTAACGTTCCGCGATTTGTATTCCTTCTGCGCAGAGTGCGATGATGCGAGCTGCCTGCAAGAGTGCCTGATGGGAAGCTTCGTCGACGCTGGTCCGGACTCCATGAGGTTCAGTTTCGCGGCATGCAACAACGGCACCTGCCAATGCACTTACCAATCAGGTTAGACTAGATTGCTAACATTTCAGTTTCCAATTCTCGATCGGGTCAACTGATTTTATGCAACGTGTTTACAATAGCGAGTTCGTTTCACACGCACTAGCACCTTGTGATTTCTCTCCCAGAATCCATCGCACTCGCGAAGTGCCGCACGAAGAACCGATCCCGAACGAACCTTCCGAGTGCTAAGACTGCAGCCCGATGCTGACGCCACCTACGTTGTAGCGACCTCAGACCTGATTTGCGATGACCTCAAACAACTCGACTGTCGTAGAGATATTTACAGACGGCGTATGTTTACGCAACCAGCTCACCACAAAAACGCTGTAGGAAGTAATGAAATTTGAGGGATCTTTTACTTCGTATAACCGTTCACACTAAAGAAAACTCTCAATGCTGTCCGCGCAGAAGCATGTTCAGTTTTACGCGCAAACCATCGAAGGGATACAACCAGGGTGTCGAACCGAACCCCAACCGAAAACCTTTAACCGAAATAAAATCGTAACCGAAATATCAACCCGAACCGGAACGAAACCGTAATTTTATCCGGCGGTTAACGGTCCATGGGAAAGCGGTTCGGCGTAATAAACTGCGAGCAGCGCATATATTTCCTGGTGGCGGCGCGGAGTGAATTAACTAATCGCGACGGTGGCATCATGAGCGCAGTGTTTACTGAACGAAACGTGAGCTATACATGAAGACGGGACAATGGTAATGAAACAAATAAATGAATTTCCCCTCTCCGTGCAGTAAGACTTGGGGTTGACGCGGTGGCGTACACTTGTCTCCTCCGTTTCTCCTTCAATGAACCGCAGTCATCGCTACGAGTCATTGGAGTCAATCCAGTGCAGCTTGAGTGTCACGTGACCTTTTGGGAGAGAGGCCACGCGATGCGCGGGTTGTTGTGGTCACGTGAAACGTTCCCGTCGCTGGATTGGCTGCAATGGCTCGTAGCGACCGATGCGGGCCGTCATAAGGAGAAACGGAGTACATAGACCTCACTACGCCAACAAAAAGTTATAATCTTTTTCCCGCTATACATTATTTTTTTAAGAAAACAAAAAGCGAAAATAAAAAAAAAAGTCGACAGCTGTCAGTGTTGGTTCGTCGGTTTGTTCTGCGGAGGAAAAATCTGGAGCCGCCACTCTGGAGAGGCGAAGCCACGAAGATCGCGACACTGGAGTTGCCATCGCTGAGACGCCAATCTCAACGCTACCTGAGGAAATTTGTGTTTGTTTTGTTTCGTATTGTATTTTAAGTGCAGCGTGTTTCTTTTTTGTTTTTTTCTTCTTTTTTTTTTTTGTGCGTCATTGTTCGCTGTTTTTCACGTTTTCAACTCCGTCACTGGAGGCGGGTAAGTTGAGAGTACGGTGCGTGTGGGTGCTGGCCGATATACTTCACATGCGAGTACTGTACTTTGGTGCTGTTTTCGAGCGCTTGTATGACCACGTAATTTACGTCCAGTGGAGTTTACGATAAAAAGTCGGGATCAAAAAACGAAATTAAACATCTGTTTGTTTTGCTCTCCTCGTTTCCGTGGCACGGCTTTTGTTGACAACTTTTTGTAGTAGTTTTTAATGAAGATGCCACCGAATCAAACGCACTTTTATTTTCTTAACAACTGGGAGTTGTGAACCTTTCTTATTTAGCGCACGAAATGGACGCGCCGCTGCGGTCTAAGGTAGAGCTTTGAACCAGTTTGAACCGGTTCGCGCTTGTTGAAACCGGTCACCGAATCGATATTTCAACTGCACCATTGAACCGGAGCCGAAACGGAGCAAAATGCAAAAACTACTAAACCCAAACGTGAACCCAACCGAAATTATGACCGGTTCGACAAACTGTATACGACCTAAAAGAAGTTCGTTCAAATCTCCCGCACTCAGCAGCAAAACGCTTCGCGGCACTTTTGATTTCGATGGTCGAAGTCAGATGGATCAGATTTTATCCCTTGTGACAGCGGAGAAAACAAGAGCTTTCACACACAAAATACTACGGGGCAAGATAGCTGGCGTAGGTCAATGTTAAACGTGATAATTTTACCCCGGCCTCGAGTAAAATCACCACGTTTAGCCTTCTCGGGTGCCGAATAAAAGCGCCGCAGGTTTCTGCTGGTCGAGCTTTGTCAACTTTTCAAATTCTCAACCGCACACTGATTGGGAGAGAGATATCGTGGCCGCTGATGTGTTTGTCCAGAGCCTTTAATTCACCACTTGTAGATCATTTCAGCATTTGGATACCACAATAGAACGACTCAAAAGTTGAAAATAAATCACAGATTGTCGATTGCCTTGCTTCCACGCGCCCAGAATTCAAGCTCTCGTTCGCTTCCGTCTTCCTAGGGACGCGATTTCAAGGGAAAAAGCTTCACTTCTTTTTTTCCGTTCCCCTCGATGCGAAACACCTTTTAGCAGATATTTCCCCGTCGTCTGCTCTAGCCTCTCGCTCCTCACCTGAGCGACGCATGGTGGCATTGCATTATGGCGCGCGCTCGATTCTCCCGCACGCACGCGGAAAGTGTAGGCACTCCCGGAGTGCCCGCCGAAGCAAACTCGCTCCACGCGTGGGTGTCGAAAGAAATAATACGTTTTACTCCGCGAAAATAGAATGAACTCAGCTCCGAAAGCATCTGCGTAGTTGGAACGGCTCGACGCGTACATGCTTCGCAGTTTTCTTTCGAATAGACGTGTTCCAAAACTCGAAGCGCCTCGTCGCGGTGTAAGGCCACGTTACGCATTGCGGGAAGCAGTGGGAAGCAAAATCCACACGCGCTCCACTCGTGGCCTGCGGGTTTCCATAATGCAACGCCCTCTCAATTGGAAGGGGCCATAGCTGCCACCGTCTATCGCCGGGGAAGCTTCGCCGAGACAGCCGTCTCTGTTGTACTTGGCGAATACGGTATCTCGGTACGTCGGCAGCAGCCCTCTCCCTCACCGCAGCGCGAAAGCGCCATGCGCGTACGTTTTATCGGCCGGGGGGTTTCCTAATCGCTCGGGATGGATTTGGCGCTGTATGCGCCCTGTCCAACGCAAATAAGCAAAGTCAGGTATTTTCTTAGCCAACTGTTTGATCGGGTGGTTGAACGTCTGCAAGTGCACCCGCCTTCCTTTACCTCTTCGCCCGCTACGCTCCTCACCTCGGGACAACACGCGCATTCGCACAGACAACATATCTACGCAGCACTCGTACGCCACGAACTAATAGGACCGATCAAGCAGCGTCAAAAGCTCGTCACTAGGCCTTTTCTGTTTATGATTGGTTCGGCGATAAGAGAACACGTACGGAAACATGACGTTTTGGACGCGGTCTTCTGGGTCCCATCAGCTCATAGCGTCGGCTGCCTCTCAACTTAAGCTGAAACAAAGTGTAAACCATCTCAACTCACTGACGTCACGCAACAGCGGTGGCGCTGCTGTCGGTACTGCGCATGCGCAAACGCTTCACTCCTCCCGAATTTGGTATCTGCGCAAGCGCAGAGCCCACACCTAGTGTGGGCAAAGCGGGCTTCGTTTGTAATTGCAGGGTCCTCCTAATTAAATCATCTTGAGCCGAGCGAGGCACGAAACGGAGAAAAATGGCTCAATCACTTAGGCGCTAAAAGTGCCTACTTTAGTTCCAGACGTCACGTTCACTGAGAGAAAACGCTCATGTTTTACCAGCGAAAACAAACTGGTCAAAACCGTGATTCGGTTTGCATTGTTGTATTTGTACACCTTGAAATCGTGATGACTTCCGATCTCAGTTGGAGGCATACGGCAGCCATGTTTACTTTTAAGGTGCTCCTGTGCGTTCCGGTGGAAAAATGCACGTGCATTTTGTGCCTTCTCATTTACTAACACGTATCCATGAAGTCCAATATTAATGCATTTAAAGCGTAGTTGATTTTTTTGTTTGTCCTAACAGTGTGCCAGCCAGAGAGATGCTTCAACACTTGCACCAAAAAATACCAAGAAAAACTAAACGGATCCACCTGCATGCAAAACCAGTGCTACTGTGTGCAATCCAATGGGTACGCATTTTATTCCTCTTACAAACTACGAAGATATGTCAAACATATGCGATACAATTTCTCGGATAAATGTAGGTATGCTGACGAGGGTGACAATTGTAACAGTAATAATGTTGAATAGACCACACCGATTGATTCTCGGGATATAAGCTACCGTTCCAGAACATAAAAATCTTCCTTTTCTCGTTTTAGGGCTCCCGAATTCACCGACGGTTCACAGCTCCCGCTTGGTTTTCAGAATGAATCACCAGCGGGAGGTAATAACTGAAGAAATAAAGCTGTACCTTCGTGGACTCGTGTTGGAATCCTTAATATTCCTTGAATCTGGCACCTAGCGTTGGGTAGCCGATTGCGTTCGTACGCATCATAATGAATGAGCGAAGTGTCGCGCTGCCCCTTCGTTTTTCGTTATGACAGAAAGTTTTAGAAGTATAGAAGACACAGCAAGACACATCTATACATACAGACTAAAAGGTCAAAGTCACGGCGCATGTCCTGCGTTTGATTAGAGAAGCCGGCTAAGCCGCCAATTCAACACCGGAGTTTCGTCTCCGCGCACGGGCAGTGTGGAGCACGCAACGCTAACGCGAATGCACAGTACGCGCTTCCGTTCGCACGTTTGCGCCAGTTTTAGCAGGTCGTTCCGATAACGATAGCCGATAATTTGCCGCCGCCTTTGCGCCATGCATCGCATCACTACCCTAAGATGATACTTATAACGATACTATAACGATACGTTAACCATGCGATACCGATACACAGAACAGTAATGCGCATTTAGTAGACCGTTTTGAAGACGATACATCCGATACAGTCGATGATGATGATAATGATGCGGCTATTTCCCTTTGAATAGGGAGGACTCAAACAAGGTTTGTGCCCAAGCCTGAGGAGTAGGTGTCTTAATGCTCCCTGAGGTGGATCTTCTGCTACTAGTCCTCCAGTCTCCTTTTCGTGTCTGCAACAAGCCTTTTTGTGTCGTTGGAGACTACCTTCAGCCCCGTAGATGGGCAGACTGCTGGAAATTGTCCGATTTCGCTGTCAGTGAAGCTCAACGCTCCAGCTAGCGCTAACAGCTCATTCACACTGGAAGCGGATCCGCATTCGCAAAGCGGTTGTGAGCGCGGTTGTATAAAGATCCAGTCCACTTGCACGCGCACTTGATGTCATGGAGTGCGCGTGCAATCGTACTGGATATTTATACAACCGCGTTCGCAACCGCTTTGCAAACGCGGATCCGCTTCCAGTGTGAATGAGCGGTAAGGGTTTCGAAAGTCTTGGGCCATCGTCCTGTGACCGGGACGGCTTGAGTCTCGCGCAGTTTAGCACGATGTGCTCCACCGTTTCATCGTTTACCCCACACACCCTACACGTTGTTGACGTAACCGTGGTGTCGAAACGGCGCCTATAAAATAGCGTCCGGAGTGTCCCGGCACGTGCCTCGAACAAGAAGCGGCTATCCAGGCTGTTGTCACACAGCCGGACTTCCGAGGCGATGGTCATTTTCTTGGCGAGGTACACCCCCCATGTCGATTTCGTTGGGGCGTTTCGGAGCCATTTTTGAGTCTCGTAGTCTCGGAACTTCCGACATCCACTCCGTCTCCGTCGACACATCAACAGGCTCCGAGAAGAAGCCGTACTTGTGTTGATGTTGATGGAAGCGCTTCTGCCAGCGGGTCTGCAGACCAGTCAAATTGGTGTGATTGGCCCTCAGACCTGCTGGTCTGAGGACCAGCGGGTCTGCAGACCAGTCGCTTGATGCGCTGGGGCGCTCCCTAGTGGGAACGATTTGCACTTTCCAAAATTAAAAATAACGAATTAAAAGAAAGATGTTTAACTGAAGGAAAATAACAGTTCTTACATTTAATACAATTAAAGAAACATCAATTAAGTTTTATAAGCGGCAGAAATGGCAGAAATGCACCAGAAAGTTACATCTAGCCAAGTAGAGACAAGCCAATCTAGTCCCCCGGTGGCTTGTCACGGGAAGCCATAGGAAGCACGGGCGTGAGCGAGTTGAGTGAGGGAACAACTTGATCCATGGCGACGTGCGTTTTCGAGGATCCCTTGGCCTTAGCTGTTTTGAGGTGGGACGAAATCGAAGAACTCTCCTTTCTGGATATGGGGTAGGTCCGGTTTAGGTTTAGGTCCGGGCGAGGCTACTTGGATGGGCTCAACATAGATAATGAAGCTTTCCGCCAGCAGTTTCGTTTTGGGCAGATGGATTTAGCGGAGCTGTGTAGCGCGCTGCGAGTCCCTGATACAATAAGGACGGCCCAGAACGTCGCCATCCCCGGGCAGGAAGCTCTTTGTATTCTTCTGCGGAGACTCTCTAACCCCAACCGCCTCTGCAACGTGGAAGGCATGTTTGGCCGCCACTCTTCGAGACTTTCGAGTGCGACGACCGCGGTGCTAAACCATTTGACGTCTACGTTCGGGCAGCAGACCGCGGATCTGTCAGCTCACACGTGGCTGAACCGTGCAAGCTTGGACGAGTTTTCCAAGGTAAGCATATTGTAAAGTTAAATTAAAAACACAAAAAAAATTGCAGGTGCATTGTTGGTTTTGCTTTTGCAGGCGGTCCGCGCGATGGAGGCACCTCTTCAGAATTGCTGGGGTTTTGTTGATGGAACGGCCCGCCCCATTTGGCGACCCACGGAGGACCAGCGACTTTACTTATCAGGTCATAAGCGTGTGCATGCCATCAAGAATCAGGGCATAATCTGTGCCGACGGAATCATCGTGGAGATGAATGGCCCTTACCCGGGACACCGACACGACGCCCGTAAGTCAATGGCAAAAACTCGGAAATCAGAACCTACAGGTTCTTGGAAGAAGCGCTCATAAATAGAGGTACAGCCTCTGTCACAGCCAAAATAAGTTGAAACGCCACAAGGCATGACCCTTGGTACTATCAAGGCAGCCTGTCGCATTGTTCTGCAAACCGTGATGGGGGACCCATCACAGCAAACCGTGATGGGGGACCCAACACAGAGTTCCTTCTGCACTGGCGGCTCACCTCTGCATTTCCGTGTCGTCTGCGATTGAGCGAATGGTTGCGACATCTCTTCCTTTCGCCAAACCTCAAAACCCACGCACGATGAAGAATAAATCTGTTGCAGACCTTCTCGAAAGACATTGTGCTTATGATCCCACAATAATTGGTGAACGATTTAGTGGCCGAAACACAGATGTCTCCTTCTATTTGGCACAGATACATTCGAGAGTGCCAACAGAAATTTGCAACCTATTTTAGAGCATTACAAAGAATGGGAACGACAGCGTGATTGTTGGTAACGGTGAATCGCATAGATCACACCTACAGGAATAGGCTCGACTTTAGGATACACCACGCAAAGGGCGTTCTCGTGTTACAAGGGGCAGGAACCGCTAGCTTGCCTGAGCTGCATCGGCGAATAGACCTTTTTCAAAGCACGATGCCGCTGTCTGCAGCACTGGGGAGGCGACGGCGAAGTCAGGCGAGCAACTGTGCTATACCTCTTGCTCTCTTCAGTGTCACGAAGGGGGAGGGGGGGGGGGGGGTGCAGGCGAAGACTGTGTGGCCTACCCTTTGGGATTTTTGCAAAAAGCCTATTCTTTCCCATTGGAGCGGGAGCTTCAAGATGACCCGACCATTGAGGCATCCATCTGTACAGAACTGCTGTTTCATAAGCAGAGAACACAGAAGTGCAGGGTGGCACAACGAGCGCAGAAAGGGGTATGTCTTGGCCTTATCATGCATCACACTTTGCAGAACAGTGCGGCAGGCGGCTTTGAAGGTACTGCATGCCACACAGTCTGGCTTTTCAGCTCACCTTGGCCGTGAGAGTACAGAAGAAATCCCAACATTTCTTAAGAAATACTATTTCATGCTTAAATGCTGAAAGTAAAGCTGGTGTTCTTTGGTCAGGGAGTTAAACTCTTAAACTAAGGTGGAAAAATAACGTGACAGAACGAAGGGAGGCAAACACTTGTCCTGTTGCTTTTTTGTTAAAGGGCGTTGTATAAGCTTGGGACTCTGGAATAAAAGAAGACAAAACTGAGAATGGATCCTGGAATGGCAGTCCTTTACTCCTATCCTAACACGTCAGTTATGACTACTACTGTAGACCTGTTGCCACTGAATGCAGCACTTACACTTGCGTGGTTACTTGTTTCATTAGGTTGCTTGCCATAGTTGCGGATAGTTTTCCACCGTGTTCGATCGGGGAGACAAAAGCCTGCACGCGAGCTGCCAGCTTGGCAGCTCACAAGATCATTGGGCATTCCAGTAAACCAAATATTCGGTAACCATTAAAGGGCAACTCCGCTTCATTTTTGATATTTAGAGAACTATGTAGCCCTCTTCAGTATCATATAGGAAGACCCCATGTCAAATATTACGATCTAATTCCGTTTATATATTGAATAAACTGGCCAGCAAACCTTCAAGCGAGCCAAGTCGCCGAAATCTGCCAACTCTAGCGTGCGGCGCGAGGTGCAATCACCAGCGCAGTCAATGCCACGGAGATGGAGCGGCCAACGTTGAACCACTACGTCAGAGGCATGCATACGTCATTCTCACGTTTTCTTTGTTTTTACTTCTCAGAGCGAAATTGAACGATGATGTCATGAGTTTCTCCTCCGGTGTTGGCTGACCGGGCGTTCACGTGATCACCGTAACACGGATGCGCCTGGGATGCGCTGCCCTGCGCGCTTAAGCGCGATCCAAACCAACGCTTCTTTTTGCGCCTGTAGGTCGTGCGGCTGCGGATGTGACGTATTTTCGTGACGTCGCGCCGCTTCTTCGCTCCTTCCGGGCGCGCACAAGAAAGTTGGATAATTTCAACTTCTCAACGCACACAAAAACGCGCGGTGACGTATAGGGCGCTCCTGTGTCCCGGCCAATCGGTGGAGGGCAAGCTAGTTCCGGCTCCGCGTTTCTTCGCCGCCTTCTCAGAGCAAGTGACAAAAGCACCCGGTCCCCAACCACAATTGGCCCTCTCCTCCCCCCACTTTTATTCTCTTCCAACATAACAACGCGATCTCTCTCTCTCTCTCTCGCCGCCTTCTGGCTGCGACAGACTGGCCTGGCCGGCCAGTCTGTTGCGCGCGTGCGCGCTCGCCCGAAGCTGGCCCGTCCAAACCAAAGCGCACGGTTCTGACTCAGAAAGCGCGCCCGGAAACAGCAAAAACGTCAGGAAATGCGTCACATCCGCAGCCGCACGACCTACAGGCGCAAAAAGAAGCGTTGGTTTGGATCGCGCTTTATCGGTCTGTTTCTCCGCT